ACTTATTTTGTATTGCCTTTATATTTACTTTATTTACTAATTATTCGAATGTATAATATTTTTTGGTAATGACCAAATATATCTAAGTACACATTGGACTTCACATTGGAATAATTGTCATTAGGGTATTCAGCATTCGACGTGTGAACGATTTTTAGGAGCCTCAGAAATTTTGCGATTGAACAGGATGAATATTTTTATATTTATTGTATTTTAAATATATGGATTACAAAATATGTGGTATTTTTATATTATAAGTATTATAATAACATTATATAAAATTATTATCATAATATAAATTAAATTTATATAAATATTTGTAAATTAACTATTTTAATTGTTTAGAAAAAAAAGAAACTCAAAGGGGAAACAAAAAAGGTTTGCGCGCTTCTCTTTAAAAGGCACAAAATCATTAAAGCTAATTTTATTTTATTTACGAAATTCTAAAAATGGATAACTTACATACAATGTACTTGTATTTTATTTAAATATACTCCTAGGGAAGCTAGATTTTGAAAATTAAACCTACCCTGTAAAAATAAGTAATAAATATTTATATATGTATTGGTATATTTACTATTTTTTTTATTAAATACACTAAATAATTAAAATAGTTAATATGTTAAATATTCTATTAAATTAATTAAATAATTTAAGTATCAAATTAAATGTTTCGTTTTATATATTTAAAGTAATTATAAAAACATACCTTTTAACACAAAACAAATAAAACTGCTTGACTAAATAAGAATAGATTTAAATGCAGATTGATAATATTAGATATGATGTTATTCATATTTACTTAAAATATTTTAAGTCATTAAATCAAAGTTTAATATATTTAAATAAAAATTAAATTTAATATTTCTATTTTAAAGTTAGCCATGGATTAAAAAATAAAGTGAAATATATTTAATTAAATATCCTTTAAATTTATATATTAAATTTAAATATAGTAAATTTGAAAAATTTTTAAATTTAATAAAGCAGTTTTATATGTTTTTATTTAAAAGTTTTGTTTTTAGCTTTAATTTAAATATGTAAACGAAACTATGAATTAAATATGCAGATATTAATTTTTAAGGTATATAAAAAGTTTTACATCAAGCTTTATTGCCATATACAATGACAAACTTAATTATTGGCACAGCAAGCATGTTAAACTTTGAGGCTATTTTTCTTCTTATAATATGCTGATATTAAAATAAAACAAAGTATTTTTAGATAGAATCATTAATTTTATGTTAAATACAAGTGACTTCAATAATTTATCTTTTATAAATAATTTATTAAAAATAAAAAACCAAAGAACGGACCGAATTTGCCTGAACAAAATTATTATTATTATAATTAAAAAAATAATTATTATTATTTAATTAACTATTTTGTTAAAACTTTATCGATTTGGCCACTTTTTTTTTTAATTATCACATTTGCCTCTATAATCTTAATGGTATAATGATTTATTTTATAGCTAAAATTGTTTTAGTGCCTTAAAATAAAGGAAAAGTTGTTTGACTTTACAAGGTAAAAATAAAATCAACCGCATGTGTCCAAAAATTAAAATTTAATAAGCAGGATCAATGCAAATCGGAAGTCAACATTGGGGAAAGGATGCCCAGAAGCCATTTTTCCCATTCGGAGTCCTTTGCTACATTTTAAAGGACCCACGCAGTTGCAAAATGCAGGGCACACTGGCTAATCCATTGCTTTGAGAGGCCAGGAAAACGAATAAAGGAAAAGTTGTTTGACTTTACAAGGAGCAATTCGTTTTTCTGGCCTCTCAAAGCCATGGATTAGCCAGTGTGCCCTGCATTTTGCAACTGCGTGGGTCCTTTAAAATGTAGCAAAGGACTCCGAATGGGAAAAATGGCTTCTGGGCATCCTTTCCCCAATGTTGACTTTCGATTTGCATTGATCCTGCTTATTAAATTTTAATTTTTGGACACATGCGGTTGATTTTATTTTTACCTTGTAAAGTCAAACAACTTTTCCTTTATTTTAAGGCACTAAAACAATTTTAGCTATAAAATAAATCATTATACCATTAAGATTATAGAGGCAAATGTGATAATTAAAAAAAAAAGTGGCCAAATCGATAAAGTTTTAACAAAATAGTTAATTAAAACCCAAGTGTGCCAATAATTTTGTTCAGGCAAATTCGGTCCATTCTTTGGTTTTTTATTTTTAATAAATTATTTATAAAAGATAAATTAATGAAGTCACTTGTATTTAACATAAAATTAATTTTTCTATCTAAAAATATTTTGTTTTATTTTAATATCAGCATATTATAAGAAGAAAAATAGCCTCAAAGTTTAACATGCTTGCTGTGCCAATAATTAAGTTTGTCACTGTACATAAATGCAATTTACATAATCATCCTGTTCAATCATAGAAGTTCTTTTGACACACAAATAGTTTCTTAGTCCAGAAATGATTTCTGGACGAAAATCGTCTTCTCGAACAAATACGCACACATACGCACTTCCTTATTCGTGTAATTCTATTTTTAGATTTTTACGCTCTCAACTTTGTGCGAGCGGAGAGAGCGGAATTTTCGTCGCCACCAAAAAACGAGCTGCATATTGCAAAACCAATGTATGGGCGTTACGCATTTTAGAGTTTATATTGGTCTTTGGTCATACCTATATATTGTGTACTTACCTGGAAAGTGATACGCAAACCTCTTGCATTCTGATAGGAAAGAAGGAGGTTAGAAGTTAGTTTTTTGAAATTGGTACACTGGTTTGGCCTCGACTAGTAAGTTTTACTCCCAAGGGCCCCTTCTTCGTTATCGTAGCCTCGAAATCTTTTACAACCATATTATCCGGCCAAAAGTCGCCCGAGCATATGGCTTCAAAAAGCTCGTTAGGGACAGTTATCTTGAAAGATGAAATGTCTCTAGCATCAGAAAACTTAAACCTTTACACTATTACAATCGGCTTTAGTTTTGTCTTGTATGTATATAATACACTACATCAGAAGATGTTTGATCATGGGAAAGCCGAGAAACGAAAATTTGTTTCCTTACATCTTTTCGATAGAGGGAATGTACTTCCTCACGGCTTTTGATAATGTTAGCAAGTTTGCGGTCATCCAGCCAATAGGTGCGATGTTGAATGGCAACTGCCTAACCCTTACACAGTACGTCGAACGATAAGTGGAAAGGTTACACAGTACACAGATTGCCAGGTGTATAACATTGTAAAGGAAAATATATGATCAATTATTCCTTGAGGCGAACGTACAGTATAATAGGAAATTTCACAAATATGTTTAATTTTGAGATCATCCATGCTAGTGCTGACTTTGCCCAGGATAAAATCACGAACCTAAAGAAGGCGCAGCAGGAACATTTAGATAGGAACACTCCAGCTCGACGGAATAGGTTATTTGAGGTGGGTTGCAAAATTTTAGTACAACAATGGATTGGAGTTAAACTTACGTGTCTGTTTATCAAAACTCAACCAGACACCACCCCCTTTTAAGCCTGCTCATATAAAGGAGTTGCAAATGCCAGTTGCTTCGCGATCTGCTTAATGATAGAGATAAAGGTTTATCAGGCTCATCTAATGGCGGAGAAGCAGAGCCTCGGTAGCGATGACGCACTCATGGCCGAGGACTTCTATTTTTTTAAGTAGTAAAAGTTGGCAGTGCTATACCGTCCGCACGGCCAACTTCTACTACGGAAGCTGGTCGACGCCCGTTATCTGTGCTAGCTAGGTTCACGATAAAGTTGTCTCTCACTCTGTAAATCAGTTCTGATATAACAGCCAATCAACAGAGTCACTTCCTCTTAGTCAAGCGTTATCTTTTCATTAACCGCTGCGAGTATCATAGCCAAATCTACGACCCAGCTATCAGCTTACACAAGGGAGTTCAGCACCGAAATCGTCACTGATCGTGGCCTCACTTGGTCTTGATCCGAATTCTATATTACTCTACGGCTTCGGAGGCGATCACAAAATCATTTTGGGTAGCATCTTGCTGCAATACCCATCTCAGAACCAAAAACGCCGTGAGCAGCGACATGCCTCCCTGCAATCATTAACACAGCTCCGCTTTTATATCCCTAGAGGATGAAAAAGGATTAGCTTTGCTGAAGAGTAGTGGTTTTGTGTACACACCTTCTTTTTTCATACTTCGAATTATAATTTATGGCAATGGAATCCATCTTGGCAGAATATTTAAAGTACGTTGAATTTCTTTATAAGTTTTGCCCTCCTTTTTAAGCTGATCGATTTTTTTACTTGAAGCAGTGAGGCCCTCTACCCACTAAAATGAATATTGTCGTATTATCGTATAAATTGAAATAATAAATTTAATTGAACTCACTTTTCACAAAATTACCAAAAATGTTCTGCACTTTACGTGTAAGAGCATCAAAACGTTATGCACGTGTTAAAAAATATCAAGACATCCCAAAAAAAGGCAACTCTAACTGAGCTTTGCCTTGTTTCTTATCTCTGTGTTTACATAAACAATCTGTATGTGATAAACTAACAAAAATGAATATGCATCTATTGCACTGCTATTTCAAAGAACACAGCTGGATGTATATATAGTCGTCCGATCCGGCTTATATACTAGATTAAATAATAGATTTACATACTGAAAATTATAAAATTTGTTAAACTGAGTGACTAGACGGACATGGCTAGCTCTCCTCGTAATGCTGATCAAGAACAAACTTTTGACTGTAAATTCAATACCCTCAGCAAGGGTATATAAATATTTTTTTGGTATTTTACATTTAACTCTGTATACAGCAACAATGCTGTAGTATTTTCACAGACTAGGGTGCTGTGGCTTAGGGCGATGTGTCTTACCCTTTTTTGGATCTCTGATGATCACCAGTTTCGTTGTTTTACAAAATATTAATATTAAAAAATAAATCAAAAGCATTTTATTAATATTATTTTCAATTCATTTTATTAATACTGTAAAAATAAAACAATAGCTATTTATAATATTATTTTCAATTTATATTATTCCAGGCCGAAAATTACTCGTAAAAAGCCACCTTTATATAACCTAAAATTTTCAATAATAGGTTTAAAAGATCAAGAGGAGGAGTTAAAAAAGCGAATAGAAAAATTGGGTGGCAAATGTGAAAACAAAATAACGGAAACCACAATAGCAGTAATTTCAACAGAAGCAGAAGTAAAAAAAAAATCTAAACGGATGGAGTCTGCACAGTTGCTTGGCATACATATTGTGCCAATTGAATATTTAAATTTTGTGGAGTCTGACGCAGAGGGAGCTTTCATTTATATAAATAGTATGAGTATCTGCAATTGGGGAATAGATCCAAGATCAAGAGCTTTACCAGATACAATAAAGAGCTCAAAGTTAAAAAGTATATATACCAAATCCGTGCCAATATCAAGGACGTTCAAAGTAAAAGACGGTCTGGCTGTTGACCCTGACAGTGGGCTCGAGGACATCGCCCATGTATACGTGGAAAATAAAAATAAATACAATATTGTGCTTGGCTTGACTGATATTCAGAGAAATAAAAATTCCTTTTACAAGTTGCAGCTTTTGGAAGCGGATAAAATGGCAAAGTAAGTAAACGGAAAAAGACTAAATTCGTATCATAGTATTTTGAGTGGCAAACGATACTTTTGAAGTTATTAACCTATTAACATGATTAGTAATATTAAATTTTAATGGTTAAAAAGTATCCAACAGATCGATTTGGTTTGGACAAACTTACATTTCCGCAGAAAAACTGAGAAAACAAGAAATTAAAGCTGACTTCGGGCGGCGCCGAAGTTGATATACCCTTGCAGAATATTCTGTAAATTATATTCTCCAAAACTATTCATGTGATGCATTATTAATACCCATAGAAAATCCCAACTTCCTAACTTTATAAACACCAAAGTTATGGCATTTCCAATCGTTCAGTTATATGGCAGCTATAGGATATAGTCAGCCGATCCTTATGAAATTGATTGGCCAAAAATAAAACCCATTGAAAATCCCAACTTCCTAACTTAACAAACACCAAAGTTATGGCATTTCCGATCAATTAGTTATATGGTGGCTATAGGATATAGTCGGCCGATCCCGGCCGTTTCGACTTATATACCCATAGAAAATCTCAACTTCCTAACTTTACTAACACCAAAGTTATGGCATTTCCGATCAATCAGTTATATGGCGGCTATAGGATATAGTCGGCCGATCCCGGCCGTTCCGACTTATATACTGCGTGCAAAGGAAATAAGGTTGTGTGCAAAGTTTCAATTCGATATCTTTTAAACTGAGAGTCTAGTTCGCGTAGAAACAGACAGACGGACAGACTGACGCACAGACGGACATGCTTATATCAACTCAGGACGCGATCCTGATCAAGAATATATATACTTTATAGGGTCGGAGATGTCTCCTTCACTGCGTTGCACACCTTTGACCAAAATTATAATACCCTCTGCAAGGGTATAAATATAGTGGTCGAATGTTGGAATGGCATACCTCGTTGAATTCGTTAGAGAAAAAACAAGAAAGGAAAACAAGAAAGGAAGTTGATATACCCTTGCAGAATATTATGTACATTATATTCATTATGATGCATTCTTAATAGTCGTAAAAAATCCCAACTTCCTAACTTTAAAAACACCAAAGTTATGGCATTTCCAATCGTTCAGTTATATGGCAGCTTTAAGATTAAGTCGGCCGATCCTTATGAAATTTGGTAAGTCGGATTGATTAACCAAATATAAAACCCATAGAAAATCCCAGCTTCCCAACTTTACAAACATCAAAGTTATGGTATTTCCGATCAATCAGTTATATGGCAGCTATAAGATATAGTCGGTATATATATACGGCGATATATATACGGCGTGCAAAGGAAAGAAGGGTGTGTGCAAAGTTTCAATTCGATATCTTTAAAACTGAGAGACTAGTTTGCGTAGAAACAGACAGACGGACAGATGGACATGCTTATATCAACTCAGGAGGTGATCCTAATCAAGAATATATATACTTTATAGGGTCGGAGATGTCTCCTTCACTGCGTTGCACACTTTTGACCAAAATTATAATACCCTCTGCAAGGGTATAAATATTATTTGAAAAAATTTTTGGAAAAAAATATCATGACCTCCGCCCTTATGACAAGGCAAAATCCGGATGAAATCTGATATGGTTATGATATTGGTATGGCAAACCTCATTGAATTCGTTACAAAATTTCCAACAAAGTGGCATTTAAAGAAAAAATAATCACTTGAAAAATATTTTCGATATTTCATGACCAGGCCAAAATCAGACAGACAGACGGACAGAAGGACAGACAGGCGGACAGACAGACGGACATGCTTATATCAACTCAGGACGCGATCCTGATCAAGAATATATATACTTTATAGGGTCGAAGATGTCTCCTTCACTGCGTTGCACACTTTTGACCAAAATTATAATACCATCTGCAAGGGTATAATTATACACTTAACAAATCCTAGATTTTTTTACTTCGAAACGTTGGAAAAGAAAATACTTATTTAATTAAGAATTAAAAATATTTAGCGCCAAAGGACAAAATGAACTTTGGAAAAAGAAGTGTTTATTAGACGAATGAATAATAATTTTCCTCAGTTAAATAAGCGATCCTCACAAAATATTATTTAACTAGGGATTTTATTTTAAAAGCGTAACTGATACTATCCTTGTTTCTAACGTTTTACAAAATATATATATTCTATAGGAAAAAAAACATAGGTTTTGCCTATTATTATAGATACGACAAGACTAGATACTGCTTATGTCTATTGTTAATTCAGCCAAAATAAAGGCCTATTTTCATGAATTTTGTCACCCGATACGGTTAATGTCAGATCAATTATTTTATAAGCGTATCAAAATACAACATTTAAACTATGTTTTCACAAATTTTAATCGAAAAAAAAAAAATAAATGAGCCGTTGGCAGCAAAGCTCCGTAGGCGCCTCCAAGAAAAAAGGTTTTGCGGTTAACAGCAGAACTGGTTACTGGATCAATCATGACAAAAAAAAAAATAATTTATTAGTTAAGATGTTTCTAAAGGTAACTACGTTGAGTTTTTTTTTTATTCAATTTTTGGTAACACTTTGAATTCAAAAACGTGATTTTAGCCTAATAATTCGATACAATAGGTTGTTTGGTAATGACATACCGGTTTCTTTATTATTGATTTTTGACGACAATTTTAACATAGTTAGCATTGTCCGATTTAAGTGCTATATGTACCGTTGTCTTCGATGATTTTCTGCCATTTTGATGGTAACTTGTATATGCCTCTCCTAAAGAAGTCGTTGTCCCGACTGGCAAAAAACTCGGCGATTCGATTTTCACAATCCTCCCCTGAACTCAATTTTTGTCCATCGAAAAAATTTTGCATGGCCAAAAACAGATGGTAATCGCTTGGGGCAATGTCCGGACTATAAGGTTGTAACGCCCTAAATCTAAGGGCGCACAAATTTCACTTAATCGTGCCGAGGATCGGAGTCCACCTAGTTAGTATTTAATATAGTATTAGAATTAGCTTTAAGATTTGGACACGGAGTCCACCCATGTTTTCAATATGAAGTAATAGTAACTAAGGAAAAACTAATTAAGCTGGTGTTTACATTTGAAGCCGAGACACGCACCACGGGCAGAACCCCCTTAACCCGCTATCGCACTCGTGAAGGGGGGGGGCAATCGATATCACGATCGATAACAGGGAACTGGTTCAGAGAACACGACGCGAGCTGAAGTACGATCTCTAGAAATCTGATTCGGCCTCTTTGGTTTCGACTTTTCACCGCGAATAGACGTGTGCGCAAACAACCCTCCGACGCGAGATTCAGAAGCCAATCGCCTAACCTGAGATTTCACTGTGCTCATCCGCAACACACCAGTTAACATCCTCGAAGTTACACGTAAGCAAGAACACCCATTGTGAGGGCAGCAGCCAGGGAACTACTTTCAATAACTATCAAATATAAGCCTGAAATTAAAAGAACTAAAACCCCGCGTGTTATTTCTTTACCAGTACACTTCCCCTCCTTCTAATCCCACCCGTTCTCGACCCGGTCTACGACGCGTGTTTGGCTTCGCATCCACACGACGTACTTCGGCCGAGAGCTCCCTCCTTAGAATCCCCGTAGGCTCCGAGCATATCCGGAGTGTAGAAACCCGTAGGCTCCGAGTATATCCGGAGTGTAGACCCCGTAGGCTCCGAGTATATCCGGAGTGTAGACCCCGTAGGCTCCGAGTATATCCGGAGTGTAGACACCCGTAGGCTCCGAGTATATCCGGAGTGTAGACCCGTAGGCTCCGAGTATATCCGGAGTGTAGGCACCCGTAGGCTCCGAGTATATCCGGAGTGGGCGACCCCCGTAGACCCCAAGCTCACCCTGAGCGGATCAACCCCGCCGTTCATGCCCAGCGGAGTTCCCCTCTTCGTAGCCCCCGCAGTCAACCCCAATCGGAATCATCCGAATTCACCACCAAGCAGTGCGATCGTCCTCCACCACCAGAGGGCATTACTGACGGGTCTCACCCAAGTTCCCCACCAAGCAGTGCGATCACCCACTGAGTACCTCGTTCTATCACCAGGGGACGCCTCAAACAGGATCCTCCCGGGGTTTCGCACCAAGCAGTGTGGTCGGCCTTATTCCCACTGCAGGCCGCTAGGCGGCGCTCTAGCAAATGCCTTGTCGTCAACCTCGTGTTCAGATCGGTTTGACCAACGGCTCTCGCGCGTAGAGGGCGCCTTACAGCCTTCCCATACAAATTCCTACTACAGGTCCCACCCTTCTATATAAATTTCTTGTATAGGTTCCTTGGCCCCGATTGAGATTCTACCCCGGCCAGAGAACTGCGTTACAAGTGGCGCCCGAGCAGGGACCTGATAGGGAGAAAGACCAGGAAAACTACCACCTGTATGGGGGAGTGCGTAGGCCCCGAGTGAGTGACGTAGTCTAACGGTTTCCGCGAAAGTGTCCCGACCGGGGAGAATGACCTTAACGAACTAGTGAACGCGCCCGGTATCAAGCCCACGAGCTTACTCGCGATCCCGTATAGTCCACGCGATCGAGTGTCTGTGAAAATACAAACGTATGGCCCAAGTAGCCCCGTAAAGACTCCAACAAGCGAAGACATCATTCCAAGACAACGCACCAAAGACTCGCTGCAAACATGGACCCCGACCAGAAAATTGCCGGTGAGTCCGTTCCACACTTATTTCACAATCCCGGGGTTCCCTCGCGGTGGATTTATTCCCGCTTGAAGGCCGAATTACTAGCCTTTGCTGACGAATTCGGGTTCTCCGCCGAGGGGCTCGTCGACGACTTGCGGCGAAACTTTGTCACCCTAGTTAGAGACTCGGAACAAACCCAAGAGGTATGGGCTCGACTAGCCGACCTAGGAAGACAATACTCATCACGTGCTCCGAGCCCCGCACCTTTGGGGGAAGACAAAACCGGCACCAGCGGCCCCGCCCCGAACATAAGCGTCGGAGCAATCCCCGGTGTCTCCCCCACAGACCGAGCTCGAATTACCCCTAGCCTCACGGTTACTGTGCCTCTCGGTGG